GACTCTTCCATGCGAGCTGATTGCCGCCCACACCATGACGCCTCCACCTTTGAAATTTCTACGCGAAAACCGTAGCTTCTCTTTTCTCAAATCGTGCCAATAATCACGATAACCATCTGGCCCATCACAATTGAACTTTTTTTCATCAGAAAAGACTACCTGAAGGAAGAAAAAGAGTTCAATGAACGTTGACGTTATTCTTACTTGTCTCCAGTTAGTTCGTTGATTCTTTTTTGCAAACTCCAGTCGTTTTTCACGATGTATTCGAGTCAACATTGGTGCCTTCCTCATTTTCCTGTGTTTGATGAAGTTGGTCTTCGATAAAACACGCCGGACGGTTTGATTTGTCAGCATGAGATTGAATTCCCTTCGAATCGTTGAGCACGACACGGCCGAATTTGACGCTCTTCGCAAAATTTTGCGCTTATCACGATCCGAAAGCAGTGAAGGACGACCTGTCAACTTTTTTTTGACCATATGCGGCTGGATTCTTAGCATATCGGCTAATAACATTTTGTGTGCGTCCGAGATCATTCCCAATTTGCCGATAAGAAAGACCTTGAGCCAGTTTTGCTTCAATTTCACATTTTTCAAAGTCGGTGAGCGGCATTCTACGAGACATGTCTTAAAAAACAGTAAAATTGCAAAAAAAAATTCGAAAAAACGAAAATATACGAAAAAAAAATCGAAAAAAACGCCACAAAAATGGAGTGGGTATATCATTTTGTGGAAAAATTTTTTCCACTTTTTCGTGAAAATGACGAAATTTTTTAAATTGTTATTTTTTGTTAAATTTTGTGAATGTAACATGAAACTAATAATAAATGCGCATATTTTTCTAATTGAAATCATTTCTGGAGCTATTCGCGTTTTCGAGTTATTCGACAAAATTGGGGTGGGTATATAATTATGTGGAGCACTGTAGAAACAAAAAGGAGCATAAATAAGGAACACATCGGCAGACTCATCGGACGAATCAGTGTTTTTCCTAGGTTTTTGGCAAAACACGCAGAAATTTTTTATTTTGTTTTTATGCCGCTGTAGTAGTATAGGAATGAGGGATTTGATTACCATTTTCGACATTTCAGTCAAAACATTTTCATTCGCTGAAGTCAGAGAATCACCTCATTTACAACACTTTTTTCAAAAAAAGTGTGAAATTAGTCAATTTTTAAACCACAAAAAGTGCTTATTTTTAATATTTTTAATACAGTGCTGGCCATAAAGAAATCAAAAAATGGTTTTTTGAGCATAACTTTTCTGAAAGTAGTCCAATCACTCTGAAATTTTTAGACAACAAATAAAACAATAAAAGTGATAAATTCTACACATAAGTTGTTAATTTTTTCGAAAAATTAAAAAGAAAAGATCAATTTATTAAAAATCAACAGAAACCGGTAAATAGTGACCCGTTTTAAACAAGATCTAAAGTGGTCTTAAAGTTGCAAGCAGGTAATGAAATGATGTACGCAGGCTTAATACTTCGTGGCAAAGCCTTTAGCATCGATGACAGCCTGACATCTTCTCGGCATTGACTCCAGAAGTGTGGTAATGACGGACTGTGGGATGGCTTTCCACGCAGCTTCGAGTTGAGCGAATTTTTGATCCGCATTGTGGGCTCTGACCCCATTAAGACGTCTCTGGGGCTCCTCCCACATGTGCTCAATCGGATTTAGGTCCGGGGATTGGCTTGGCCACTCAAGAACATCCACACGGCGCCGTTGAAACCAATTGCGCACATGAAGTGAAGTATGTTTTGGATCGTTATCCTGCTGGAAAACATATGCACGACCCACGAACCGAAGCGCCCATGGTCGCATTGTATTTTCCAGCACGTCCTCATATTGGAAATATATTGATTCGTCTCAATGGCCCCATACCACTCGCGGAGAAACATCCCCATACCATTACTGAACCACCCCCATGTTTGACCGTTGCAAGTTGGTACTTCGGCTGATACCTGGTGCCAATAGGGCGGCGAATCCATGTAAGACCATCTCTCCAAAACAAATTAAATTTAGATCCGTCGCTCCAAATGTGCTTTGCCCATTCTTGTGGTCCCCAGTGAAGATGAACCTTACACCACTTAACTCGATGTTTTCGATTTTTAAGACTAATGAATGGTTTCTTCACTGGCCTTCGCCCATGGAGCCCCATCTCTTGCAAACGTCTACGAATGGTTCTCTTACAAGGGAGGTCATTTTGCTGTCCGTCTTAAAATTTTTTTATTTTTTGCATACAGATTCTTTAGAAAATTTCCAATCGAATGAACTAGGTCGCTACCTGCGCAAACTTCTAGTTATCGAGATATGGACCTTCAAAGTTTTAGCCCCTCCCCACGTGAATTTTGCACACAAATGTGCGGAAACTCGAAATGAAATAACGTGATGTATTATCTCGTGCTTATATCCTGATTTGACAAGCAGTTGTGGTTCAGTGGTGTGTAGGTTATGTTGTCATGAATGGAGTTGCGGATTCGGTCCCGCTATCTGCAAACTTTTTGCGAATTTTTTTAATTGGTGATACAGTAATTATGACAGTGCAATTTTGCGTTTTTCTATTCAAATTTGCCATTTTCATCATATTGAAAGGCCATGTATAAAAAAAAATAGTTTCAAAAAAATTTTTAAAAATTGAAAAATTTTTTATAAGTTATGTGGTTGTTAATCATGAATTGCTTGGAGCAGTGGTTGTCACAATACAGGCTTCAATAAAAGATTTTCACTAGCTGTCTAACTGTACTGGAGCAATTTTTGAATCTTTTTTTCTAGGTGACATATTTGACCGTATTATGTCATGACAAAGGATTTGATGAGAAGGTTTCCCCAAGAAGTTGTGTTCCAGAGTTCTCGAAACAACATGTTGAAGACCGAAACAATTCTGCCGGTTGCACCGGTTTCGTACAACTTTGGACGTCGAAGTTTTTGCGAGTAGGAAATGCAGTCTTCTATTGTGACAACCACTGCTCCAAGCAATTCATGATCAACAACCACATAACTTATAAAAAATTTTTCAATTTTTAAAAATTTTTTTGAAACTATTTTTTTTTATACATGGCCTTTCAATATGATGAAAATGGCAAATTTGAATAGAAAAACGCAAAATTGCACTGTCATAATTACTTTATCACCAATTAAAAAAATACGCAAAAAGTTTGCAGATAGCGGGACCGAATCCGCAACTCCATTCATGACAACATAACCTACACACCACTGAACCACAACTGCTTGCCGAATCAGGATATAAGCACGAGATAAGACATCACGTTATTTCATTTCGAGTTTCCGCACATTTGTGTGCAAAATTCACGTGGGGAGGGGCTAAAACTTTGAAGGTCCATATCTCGATAACTAGAAGTTTGCGCAGGTAGCGACCTAGTTCATTCGATTGGAAATTTTCTAAAGAATCTGTATGCAAAAAATAAAAAAATTTTAAGACGGACAGCAAAATGACCTCCCTTGTTAGATGGTGCTGGATCGTTTGGAGAGTTCACAATCATCTGGATCATCGTTGCGTTTCTCTTAGGATCTTCTACAGCGGCCCGACCAATGTTGCGATCCATGGTTCGAGTTGTTTCACGCGGTCTTCCAGGAGACTTTCGAACAATACATTTGTTCTAGACATTTAAAATTGTTCAAATATGTTTTAAAAATGTTACCTGTTCATCAAATCGTTTTAGGATTCGCGAAATAGTTGAAATGGATAGGGCGAATTGCTGAGCAAGCATTTTCGCGGATGTCCCTTGTTTGAAGCCGTTGACGATGGCTTTCTGAATCTCTACAGATGTTGTTTTTGCTCCTTGACGTCTACCCATATCTGAAAACATATTTCCAACTTGAAATATTAAATATACAGCACAATAAAAAAAAACTATGGCTGGTGATTTGAAAAGTGTGAAAAAATCAAAAAATCAAAAAATTTAAAAAAAATCCCAAAAAAATTTTTTTTTCAAGCATGATGCAATTTGTTGTCTGCATTTGTGCGTAATGATGCTGCGGACACACTCCAAAAATTTCAGAGTGATTGGACTACTTTTAGAAAAGTTATGCTTTTTTTTTTCGTTTTAGAAGTGTGAGTAATAAATAGAAACAAAAAGGAGCATAAATCAGGAACACATCCGCAGACTCATCGGACGAATCAGTGTTTTTCCTAGGTTTTTGGCAAAACACGCAGATCAGACTGTTTGACGAAAACAACCAAATTTTTTATTTTGTTTTTATGCCGCTGTAGTAGTATAGGAATGAGGGATTTGATTACCATTTTCAACATTTCAGTCAAAACATTTTCATTCGCTGAAGTCAGAGAATCACCTCATTTACAACACTTTTTTCAAAAAAAGTGTGAAATTAGTCAATTTTTGAAGCACTAAAAAGTGCTTATTTTTAATATTTTTAATACATTTTCAATCAATTTTCTGTTGTCGATTTCATTTTTAATTTTCTATTTTTATGTTCTAATGGCTCAGAAAATGTGTCATTTTCACACTTTTTAGAAAATTGACGGATGTCGGTTTTTGAAAAGAAGTGTATGAAGATGAAGATAAAAATAATGTTCAATAAATGGTGAAGCTAGATAAATCCAGAGGATCTGAGAACACTAAGAATTGTTTATTTTAAGTATTGTTTATAATTTTTTTTGTTTTATTCCTCTTACTAACTTCGAACTCATAGAATTAGTAAATGTGTTGGAAATGAAACAAGTCTTTGCAAGAAATAACTGCTGTACACAGGTAGTCTCAGACGCAGTCCTGTATAGCTTCACTTCAGTTGACGTCAGTCGGGAACGATATTAAAATTACAGTTTATTACTTCGGGAAAAGGCTTACAATAATGAAACCCGAAGATAGCAAAGAGACACAGACACAGAAGCGACTCCTTTTCATCACATCCAAACCAAGAACGAAAGAGAGAGGGGAAATAACTAGCGAAGTAGATATTAACGAGAAAGACTGACTAACACTGAGGTCAAATATATATTTTTTTTTAATGCTCAACAAGTACTCAAACGGAGAACGGCTGGTGGCTGAAGACTTCAATGTGGCTGAGAATGACTGAAAAAATGAAATTCATATAAGACCCTATATTAAACTTATACTCACGTTGAATTGAGACCATTTCCAAGACGACTCCATACTGATATGTTTCCTTTCCGTTCCATTCATTTCCACGAGCGATGCCGAGGAGTGCTCCATTTCTTGCGTAGAAGACTCCACCTAAAATGTGATAAATACAGGGTGCGGGAAAAATACGATAAAAATATCTTTATTTGTTATTTTTTTTAATTTTTTATTGTCGGCGTCAAACGACTTGATGAGGGCGTGGCCTTCAGTATATCGTAATCAGTGTAGATTTACGAGCTTCTTCTGTTACTGAGCCTCTTCGTGGCGAAGAAGATAAACTGTTCATGCTCCTCTACATAACTGGGGATTTCGTCACCCCAGTGGAACATGCTCAGGCTAATCAGTACACTGTCCCACGCTTGCCGAGGGTAGAGTCGAATACTCCTCATCCGGGCGGCTTCGATTCGGCCTAGCAAGCCGGAAGAAGTAAACAGGGACCCAGTCCGCTAAAAACAGTATAAAGCGTAGAAATGTCCCGGACCCGAGCTCTGCCCCTGGATTGACAGTTACAGGTCAAGCAGAAAGGGAACAATCCGGGCCTGATGGCAACTGTCTGGTCTCGGTTAATGGAAAATCGCCCCCAAAAACACGAAAAGTTCACTTCAGAATTGGCACTTTCAACTGTAGATCGCTCGCTACAGAAACCAGACTCTCTGAGCTCCTCAATGAACTCAATCGAATCAAATTCGATATCATTGGACTCAGTGAGACGAAAAGGCCAACTGAAGAGCATATGAAACACGTTGATGGGACAGCGATTTTCCTAGGCAAACGTCATGACACTTCTGTTGTTGGAGGGGTCGGCTTCGTAGTTCATAGCACCCTCGCTCCCCGTGTAGAAGAAGTAAGATTTCTTAGCCACAGGATCGGCATGCTAACATTCAAGGTTGGAAATAAGCTTAAATGCACAGTCATGCAAGTTTATGCTCCAACCGCCGACGCCGAACCTGAAGAAATTGAACTATTCTATGACGCTGTGGAAGAAGCTTACCGTTCTTGTAGGAGCGACTACAAGCTAGTCATCGGTGACTTCAACGCACGCGTAGGGGCCAGAAGTAATGAGAACGAGCGGTTCATCGGAGTCAATTCGATGGAACCGCGCAATGACGCTGGTGAACTCCTCGCAACCTTCTGTGAAACAAACCGCTTATGGCACACAAACTCGCTTTTCCAAAAGCCAGCCCATAAGCGTTGGACTTTCATAAGTCCAGATGGCCTTTTCAAGCACGAAATCGATCACATCCTCGCCAACGGGAGGTTTGTAACAGATACTTCTGTGCTACCATCATTCACAGTAGGAAGCGACCATCGCCTTCTCCGTGCGAACATCCACTTCAACATAAATTGGCTGAAGTACGATAAAAGCAGGAAGAGAAAGGCGCCAAAGAAAGTATTGGACCCGGAGATGGCTAAAACAATAAGCTCGATTGTTAGTCTTCCAGTAGCCAACAGCGTTGACGAAGATTACTCTAATCTAACAACGCTACTCAGGAAACTACAAGACCAAGCCATTGTTAAACCATCAAACCACCGGACCAATAGGATCTCTGTCGAAACACAACAATTGCTCTCGCGTAGACGAAACATGAGCAGGTCCGATCCCAATTTCAAGAACCTCTCAAAACAGTGCCGAGAAGCAATCGAAAGAGATCACAAGGAGTTCACCAATTCCCGGTTACTAGGAGCAGCCGATCAACGCAAAAGCTTGAAGAGAGTAGCGCGAGACATGAACGAATACAAGTCACTGATTCCATGCCTCAAATGCTCTACTACAGGCAGAACTCTCACCTCTAGAACAGAAATGGAGAAGGAAGTGGAATCGTTCTACACGAAGCTCTTTGCGAGTAGAGCCCCACAAGCGCCTACGCCTACGACAACGCAAGTCAAGGATAGGCCCCTTCCATTTCTACGGGAGGAAATCGTTTCGGCACTTCGGTCCTTCCCAAATGGGAAATCAGCAGGCAGTGATAAAATAAGCGCAGACTTCCTCAAATGCTGCCACGAAAACACTATCGCGCTGATAGCGGACCGATTTAACCGCTACCTAGAAACCGGATCAATACCGAGCCTGTGGACCATGTCAGAGACAACTATCATCTTCAAGAAAGGTGATAGATACTCCCTGGAGAACTACAGGCCAATCACGGTACTCCCTGTTCTATACAAGGCTTTCACAAAATGCATCTTGAATAGAATCAGGAGTTACTTTAACGAGAATTACTTTAACGAGATCTTGAAGAAGAATGCCCTTCCGTGGTCCCAAACTCACTTTGGAAATCGATCTTGGACGTTTCAGCTAGACGAAACGCCTCTTCATCGAGCAAAACCATCCAAGACTGGTGTGGCGACAGCTTTCCTCAATTATTACGTCAAAGAAATGGCCAGCTTCATCGCCCGACTTGAACCCCATGAACTATTCTGCCAAATTTGAACTCGCTAAAAGCGGCCTTTCTGAGCGAATAGGACAAATTGGACCTCAATTACCTGCGTGCCCCATCGACGTCTACCCGAAGCGTCGGAAGGAGGTTATAAAAATCGAGGAGGAAAAATCGAACAATGTTGATTTATTTTTTTATTATTATGTGTTCAATAAGTGTACTGTCAATTTGAACGAGATTTGTTGTTTTTTTTTTTGAAAAAGTTATTTCATTTTTTCGATGCACACATAATTTTGCCGCACCCTGTAACAGTATTACTGCTACTACTATTACTACCTCCGCTGAATCCTGGAAGTCCACAGGAATCACCGTAGAAGTATCCTCGACTCCCTTCAGACAGTGACGAAACATGACCGAGACGAACTGAAATCTTCTTTTCACCAAACGGGAATCCCTAAAAATTAAAAAAATTATTGATATAAATGGTGTTGTGGAAGGTTCCACAGAATTCCACATTTTCATAATTAATACATACAATGTCTGTGTCTCCGTCCACCTCACGCTCTCTCAATTGTAAACACTGTCTCACTTACTAGAAATTGTACGAGTTTTCTAGAAGCACGTCAACCCAGTATACAGTGTGTGTCATAATGATACGCCACCCACCAAATTTCGCAGCTTCGAGAAAACCATATAAATTGGTGGCAAGACAATTTCATTTTCGAATTCAGGGCCATCGAAAACCTATATGCGCGTATTTTCATGAGGGTCCAAGTTTGAATGCAACCCTCATGAAAATATGCGCATATAGGTTTTCGATGGCCCTGAATTCAAAAATGAAATTGTCTTGTCGCCAATTTTATGGTTTTCTCGAAACTGCGAAATTTGGGGGGGTGGCGTATCATTATGACGCGCATTTTGTGTTGATTGTCCTTTTTCTTTCTTTCTCACCTTCATCAGAGTTCAAATAAACTCAACTTATTCAACTACGTGTTCTCATGGATCACGCTACCAGTCTCAATCCTCAACGATCACAACAAATGGTGAATTAAAATAGTATTTTACAATGTTTGCTCTATTAATTATATTTAATCTAAATAAATAATCAAGTTTATTTACTCACGACCACAATGTATTGATCCAGAAGTGTTGGATAGGTAATTTCAGGAAAACACTCGAAGGTTCCATCCGTCTTCTTGAAAACCACATAATCGGAAAGCTTGTTCATCCCGTGGATATGAGAAATGTGGTTCTGTCCGTCCGAGCCCCAAAGAGAAACTGATTGGCCGAGCTTTTGGAAAGATTCGGGGAGACAGTGCAGCGTTGTGACCGCATAGTGTTTCGTCAACACAACTGCAGAGATCCAAGAATTCTGGTACTCGATGTACATGCAATACGACGCCACCTTCTGAATCAATGATTGGTTCGCGCTTCTCTTGAACATCTGAAAACTTTGAATCAAATGACTTAGAGAATATAATAATATGGAACGTAATACACAGGTTCAGGTCAATAAACATAAATTTAATTTTTTCTAACTTCTGAATTGCATTTTAATTCATTTTATTATTCTATTTTCAATCTTCGTGTGTACTTATAATTTTTAGATAATTATGGAATGGAATGGACTATATGTATATGTATATGTATATTATATTATTATATGTATTATTGTATTATATTATATGTATATTTATTATAATATATTTTTAATACTTTATTATGTTATGTATTACCATCGCAATAAATGAGCACCAGTGTATGCTTCTGGACCATCGTATTTTTGCGGCAATTCCAATTTGGATTTAAAAGAATTAGTGTACAGTCGGCGCCCGGCGACTGCTGTCCGCGGGTAGATTTACGGGGATACGTCTTTTTCTTAGTCTCGCGAGGACTAACTGATTATTTTGCATTTTATGGGTTGGTTCGATAATTTATATATCGAATGACGTTGCATATTCAAGGAAATGCCAAACTCATCAAGAAAAATTAACCGTCCACGTGAAAACAGCAAAATAAGCGTTCACACGTTGCGAGACCTTTTCAAGGCGCACGCGCGTAAATCTACCCACGTACAGCAGGCGCCGGACGCCGATTATAAATCCTTTAAAAAAAAACGAGCTTAAAATGCCCATTGCTTTATAACCTCAGCCAAAATATGGCTGGTTAAGAAACGGAAATAGCTTCCTTCTTTCCATTCCAATTATCGAAAAATTATAAGTACACACGAAGATTGAAAATAGAATAAAATACTGATAAATGAATTAAAATGCAATTCAGAAGTTAGGAAAAATGAAAGAAAAAATGTGAGTCAATGGAATACAGAAAATTATATTTCCTTTTCTATTTTTAGTATATTTATTTATTTTATACATAAGAATGTCTTTACTTTCAAGAATCCAACCGCAAGTATTTTGTTTATTCATTGTTGAAGAATAAGTCAAAAGTCATTTTAATTGCGAAGCTCTTGCAGGATCTATAATATTTCCAACTTGCATACCAGCCATTGAGTAAGTTGCTCTATCAAATAAGAACATTGGAGCATTATTAGTAAATGTGACTTCATCTGTATCTGTCAATTGAGAATTGTCTAATTTAGTTAATAAGGCTCCTAAGTAGATGTAAGATTTATGTAGTAATAGATCACAAGTTTCAATGATGATATGTATTTCACCATGTTGATTAAGACATGATACAATAGAGGGAAATATACTAACAAAATTCTCTTTTTGAATTGAAGTATCCTGAATAATTGGACTATCAACAAGCAGGATTCGATCAACACTCTCTACCAATCCTGCGGAACTAGGAATCTTTGATTCTATAGAAACGGTCATTTTTATCTTGAGAAGTTCAGAATTAGCGCTTTATTTATTTAATTACAACTTTTAAGTGCTAAAATTTTCATTTGTACTCCTAATGCACCAGTTCAATTATCATAGACAATTAAATAGTCAATAAAAAGTAATAAGTTATGAAGTATATAAACCGAACATAATTGAATACTCAATTGAAGCTAAATTGTGTAAGAAATTAGTAAGGCGAGTATCAATGTATACAGATTATTCAGGATATAAGCATCTAGTAGAAAAGGAATTGAATCATCGTTCTATTATTATTGCAGAATGTAGAGAATGGATTGCAAATAAGAAATGTGAATACGGAACTCTTGTAAAAAGCAGTGGTTCCGAAGGTTTATTAGATTCTTCGAATCCTAGAACCTCTGGTTTGTGGAGTGCAAATAATAAAGTTGAGGTAGATTATTCAAATAGATTCACAAGTTTGTTCTCATCCAAAAGATATTACAAAGACAATTGTGTAATTATTGAGACTAAATTCTATTCACGCTTCAATCAAAGTAAACCATCTAATGTGTTAGATGATCTTTCAAATTGTAAATATCAGGATGATTCTTGTCAACCTGGGAAGATGAATGAAATTATGATTTGAGATGTCAATACTTCCCAGAATTGTCAATACATCTCAATTTGAAATCTGGATGGACTCATGAATAATGGGCTTTGGATCAATCGTCAAAATCAAATTGCTTTAGATCTTAAAGAATATAAAATTATCAGAGATTGTAATCTTGACCTAACAGTAAGTGAAGAAGGTTTTGCAGTCAATAAAATTTAAATATTCAAAAACTTCCCACCCCACAAGCTCCTACTACTGCTGGACTACCAAGCCTCCCAGAAATGAGTATAAAATCAGAATTCCTAGATCCGAAGGATTGATGAATCCCCAGAAGTATCAAAAAGAAAGAGACGAATATTATAAAAGACAACAAGAAATTCAAAAGCAAAAATTCAAAGAGACAATAGATAAATACGAAGCTGATCGTAAATAATTTGAGAAGAGAAGAGAAACCTTTTCCATTACCCACTTATGAAGAATACTCAAAGATTAAAACCGATTGTTTACTGCTTCCAAGTTTTGAAGACTATCTAAACTCTAAAGAAAAAGAACTCAGAGATTATTTAAAAACTAAAGAAGCTAATTTAACAAGTTATCATGAATACGTTATTAAATTTACTGAATGTACATTAGAATAATTTGAAAATAGAAAATCTCAAAGGACAACAAGGCAAGTTTACACAGATTTTCAAGTTACTGGAGAATTTCAATACTTACTCGCTCAGCAAACCGAGCGGGCGAAACCGTGGCAGAAACTAGCTGAAGGCAAAACTAGGGTGAAATTGTGGAACAACGGTGGCAGAAACCGCCGATGGCACAACTAGGGCAAAAATGGGGGCACAAGGAAAAATAAGGTTTTTTTTAGAGAGGAGGGTTGCAGGCTACGGATTTACAATCGTTCAGAACGATTCCAGTGGAATTGAAGATTTGGTTGTCGACAATCAACAAGAGATTTATGATCAATTATCAATAAATTGCGATATCGAATCGCAAGCGGTGGTACCCCAGAGTAAAGGTAGATTTTTAAATCCATTATTAATTGAGAAATATAGAGAGCCAGTATTTGTTGGAAATATCGCGTTTGCTGTATCCAATGATGTTGTCGGCACCAAATCTTCCGAAAGTTTTTCAAGCAGCCGAGATGATTATAAAGAACAACGTGAAGGTAAGAACCCATTTTGAGCTACACGCTGTCGATGGTTTCAACATTTGTAGGCTAGAGATGTTGAAGTTTTTACGAACGACCTATATAGGAATTGCTTTTCGCCGATGAAATCTATATTTTGCTCGGAATGCCTATCAAGTATCGACGAAACTTTGCATTTCTGCACTAACAGCGATTGTGGATCAAACGGGTTAGCTTATTTTTTATTTAATTAATATTGTGAACTTTAAAGGGAAGCATGCGTAAAAGGAAATGCTACAGAAGCAACAATCATTATAACGTATTCCATAATGGCTCAGTTACGAAGCATCCTCAGGCAAATGAAAAAAAATATTTTGAGACAATTCTAAAATCTTATGAGGTTCGTTGAGAGGCTAACGTGTCTCTATAATATTTTAGATTTGTCTCAATAAACTTTAGGAAATCTCATAAGATTTTAGAATTTATCAATAAGTTTCAATGAATATTGTGAGACTTTAAAGTTTATCAATAAGTTTTAGATTTGTCTCAATAAACTTTAAAGTTTATCAATAAGTTTTAGATTTGTCACAATAAACTTTAAAGTTTATCAATAAGTTTTAGATTTGTCTCAATAAACTTTAGAATATTTTTTTATTATTAAATTACTTTGAGCTTCGAACACGACAATTATTCTAAAATGCAAAAATGTGGAAAAATTTCCAGAGCTTTATTGGAACATTCAATGACAGAATTTATTATGAGCGTTAATTCGAAAATAAAAAAAGCGTTTGGCATTCAATCCTATTATAATAGGCGTGCGAAACTCGATGAGGGGAAAACTGGAACGAAAAAAAAACATATTCGCGAAAAAAATCCTAAATCAACCGCCGGCACACCACCAACACCACCACCACACACAGACAAGAACCTCTGTGTAACGAAAGGCGAAAAGCGATGACACGAGACAGTGTGGAATTGTGGTGAGACGCAGACGGCGAAGAAGGAAAACAGTATGGTTTTATGGGAGGGCACGAGAGCGGCATCAGCTGACGAGGACGTGGTGGCCGTGTGTCGCAGCAAACCAGCATTCAGAAATCGATTAGAGCGCGCTCACTCACGCTCACTCATAGGCACACATTGAATAAGAGGATTAGAGAAAAAGAAAGACGCACACACACACACACATTGCTGGAGAGCGTATTCGTGTGCCTGGCCGGTCGGGACGGCCGTGCCCGTTTTTATGTAGCATGCGCGTTTCAAGATAAATGTACTCCTCATCCGCTGGTTGACATGGCGGAGACGGTGACGTTGACGACGACGACCGAGGTGACCATGCGTGCAGAGATATTTAATAGATGAACAACAGGCGAAACAATTGATAATTGTTGAATAATTAAGTGAGAATCGAGGAACAATTGAGGATCTCCGGAATAAAAAATAGCGATTTTTTTCGAGATTAATTTTCGGGGCCAATATTTCGAGAATATTGTTGAAAGAGAGATAGAGTAATTGAACTATGTTTTGAAATATTATCCTTAAAGTTTTTGAAGCGAAAATGCAAGTAACAGTAGGTTTACAAAATGCACGTGGGTACAATTAATGCTTGTGAGATAATTTATCGTATTTCGTCCTTTTTTCGAAACTACGAATTAAAAAAATTAATTTTATCCATTTTCTAATCTTGTTTTTTTTACATATACATGCAAATATGAAAATATTAATATAAATAAATACATGGAAAAAATAATTCAAAGAAATAATTTTGGCCAAAAAACATAAATAGTACTGTAATTTCGAAGAAAGACGCAAGGCAATAAATTATCTCATGAGTCTCGCGGTTGCCATTCCATTTTTTTGACATTCATCGAAAAAATTTTATTTTTCATAAAATGCATGCATAC